AACCTTTGATACATCAAAATGGTGTAGTTTCGTTAACACTTCATCAATACTTCAAATAGTGTAGAAATGGTCAAGTGAATATAGTAATCCTTGACACTAAACCATTTACTATAGTAGAGACACATTTGGCTAATGCTAAGTTTTACTTGGAAAGTACCTTTGTGGAAGAGGTACAACCCAAAGGTGATTAGAGAAATGATGAAGGAGAATTGTTAAAGGAAAAGGGAAAGAAATCATCTTTATCTATAAAGAAAGATGATGATTTCATTGAAGGCTTAAAAAATTTAACTTTGCCATTCACTAGCTTGAAAGAGTAAAAAATTGCTAAGTTTCCATTAAAGGTATTTGTAAGGCCAAAAAAAGGGTCATTGTTTGAACACGATGATCTTCCTTCTCTAAGAGCTAATGGTTTCGACCTTAATGCTTGGAAGCTTCTAATAAAAGTTGGCTACAAGCAAAAAGACTTTTCCAAATTGTTACACGGGCCTAGTGAACCAACCAAAGAAACCCCATAAAATCCCCTCAAAAATTGTAGAGTTTGGGAGAAAAGACCAATGTTGTCAAAGCTACAAAATCATGGTTAGGTTTATACCCTTAAAGTTAAAGATTCACAGAGAAGCTTCAAGATATGTAATAATAGAAAAAGTTTACAATAAGGAAAAAACTCTAATTGAGTCATCTAGACTTGCAGTTTTTAATTGCTTGGGCACAACCGTAGCTTGAGCTTTAGTTTTTGATTGATTGAGCATGCCTTTAAATTAAGGTTCAATGTTTAATTGTATTAAGAAAGATCATACAAAAGTGACTTTAAGAAAGTTTGTGCATTCAAGGTTAATAAAAAAACCTTCACAAAGGAGGAACGAAAAGAGCTTTATGACACAAGAATCAAAAGATTTCCATAGCATCGTCCTTTCACGAATGAAAGAAAAAGTGAATGAATTATAACAAATGATGAAACATTAAAGACTAGAAGGCACATTGTAGTTGTGACTAAACAAACTTTATCTTTAAAAAAGGAAAAGTAAGAAGAAATGGAAATCTTCACTTGTAATCATGTGTCTATAATAAAAAGTGATAAAAAATTTTAGGAAGAAAATATCCAAGAGGCTCTTTTATCATTAGAGGAAGGGAATTGACTTACAATTGATGAATTAAAAAAGTTAATATAGGCACTACAGAAGATCCTCGTCCAATCTTCATAAGTGCTAGTTTAACTTTTGAAGAAGAAAATCTTATTTTGACCTTTTGACAAGGTATCAAGATGTCTTTGCATGGACTTACAAAGAAATGCTAGGATTAGACCTTAAAGTTACTGTACATCATTTAGCAGTAAAGAAAAGTGTCCTACTTATTAAACAAGCTCAATGATATTTTCACCTTAACTTGATCTTAATCAAGGTTGAGGTCAATAAACTCATTAAGGTTGGCTTTATTTGAGAAGTCAAGTGCCTTACTTGTATTTCAAATATTGTTACAGTTAGAAAGAAGAATGGCCAAATTTGAGTTTGCGTGAATTTTTTAGACTTGAACAATGGTTGCCTAAATGATGATTTTCATCTCCTTTTGATGAAAATAATGATGGATGCAACAACCAGCCATAAGGGTTTATCTTTCATAGATGGTTCCTCTGGTTATAATCATATTAGCACAGAGCTAAAAGGCGAAGAGCTCATTATATTTCAAACTCCTAAAAGAATATACTGTTACAAAGTTATTTCTTTTAGGTTAAAGAATGCAAGCACCACTTATCAAAGGGCAAAGAAGAAAATATTCGACGATATACTTTATAAAAATGTTGAATGCTATGCTGATGATTTAGTGGTTAAGTAAAAACTGAGAGTTAATCATCTTGAAAATCTTCGCCAAGTATTTGAGAGATTGTGTCGATATCAATTGAAGATGAATCCCTTAAAGTGTGCTTTTGGGGTATCTTATGGTAAATTTTTGAAATTCATAGTACAACATTGTGGGATTGAAATTGATCAATCAAAAATAGATCTAATCATAAAGATGCTTGAACCAAGCAATCTCCATGAACTTAAAAGTTTGCAAGGAAGATTGGCTTATATTCAATGCTTCATATCTAACTTGGCTAGTAGATGTTAACCATTTAGTAGTTTGATGAAGAATGCCTTTTGTTTGAGATGCGTCTTGTAGTAATACTTTTAAAAGCATAAAGTCTTATTTACTAAGGCCTTCAGTTTTAATGGCTTCTACACCAGGATGTCCATTGATCCTTTATATTGAGGCATAAGTATGCTTTTTAGGAGCACTTTTGGCATAACAAAATAATGAAGGAAAGAAAAGTGAGCTTTACTACCTTAGTAGAACTTTTAATGGTGTAGAATTAAATTATTCTCCCATTGAAAAGACATGCTTGGCTTTGATGTTTGCAATTAAGAAATTAAGACATTATTTGCAAGCTCATTTTGTTCGCTTAATTTCATGACCAGATCTTTTTATGTATCTCATGTCAAAATCAATGCTTAGTGGGAGATTGGCAAAATGGGTTGTTTTTTTTTTTTTTCTAAAGAGTTCAACATCACATATATCCCTCAAAAGGCCATCAAAGGGAAAACACTTGTAAATTTTTTTATAGATCATCCAATTCATGATGATTAGGAATTCTCTGAAGATTTCCCTAATGAAGATGTTCTTCTCATTGAGATTCCTAAGCCATGGAAGCTATATTTTGATGGAGTAGCTCGACAAGATGGGGTAGGTAAAAGAGTAATCTTTATCAACCTAGAAGAAGTATTGCCTTACGTATTAACTCTCATAGAAAATTGCTCCACTAATATGGTAGAATACCAAGCCTTGATCATAAGATTAAAGATGGTGGTGGACATGTAAATCACCCAACTTAAAGTGTTTGGAGATTCTAAATTGGTTGTAAACCAAATTCTTTCACTTTATGAAGTTAAAAAGCTTGAACTCTTGTCACATGTCAATTATGTTAAGAAGCTTTTGAAATGGTTTGACAAAGCTAGCTTGGAACATGTACTTAGAAAAAAAAAATAGGCAAGCAAATTCTTTGGCTAATTTGACATCAGCAATTGCATCGTCAAGTACAAAATTAAAACTTCTTCTTTGCAAGTGATGGATTTTGCCACTAGTCACTTTGGGTGAAAAAGTCGATGTAGAATTTAATGTTGTCTCAATCTTAAAGTGGGGAAGGAAGATTAGTGACAATTGTTGATTGAGTACCTAGAGCATGGAAAGCTTTCTAATGATCTGAGGTATAAAATAGAAATAAAACGTTGAGCTTTTCAATTTATTTATTTCAACGGTACATTTTATCGATGTTATTTCAATAGAGTCTTTCTTCGTTGTTTTGGAGATGAAGAAGCATACAAAGCCTTACAAGATGCTCACTTAAGAATTTGTGGGGCATATTAATCTGAAGCCAAGTTGTACTTTCAGATCAAAAAAATGGGGTGCTATTGGCCAACAATGGTGAAAAATAGCATGGGCTATGCTAAAAGATGTCAAGCATGTCAATTTCATGCTAAGGTCAAAAAAAAAAATGCATGTTAAGTGGAAAATCCTTAACAGGACAATTTAGGCAAAAGTTAAAGCAAAAAAAAAAAAACTAAGTTATGACTTGATCCTTCTTCATATTAAGAGGTACATAGGCAGCTTGGTCCCATTGACGAGTTTAATCATAAAAAAAGTCTCTTTCATTAAGCATGACTTAATTCTTTACTTTGCTTGAAGAATAAATAAAGTTTGTACTTCGCTTTGAGTTATGTGATTCAATCAATTAAATTGCAAGTGAAACAAATTACAATAGCAAGTTGAATTGTTCTGAAGTTCAAGTGGTGTCCAAGAAAATTTTTGGAACACAAAGTATCCTCAAGGTTTTATAGGATTATCTTTTAAATTTCTTCATGTGTAAAGAAAAGCAATAAGAAAGATTGATTTTTATTGCTAATTTAAAATGCATTACATTGTGAAAGAAGCTTTTCAAGGTCTAAATCCTAAAAAAAGGAAAACAAAAAGCAAAAGCTACATCAATAAAATTTATTCACAAAGCCCTTACTACCAAGGCAGTTTCACAAGTTGTTATGCAAGATGAATGTCATGACATTCACAATTCCTCTTGAAAGGGAGTGTTAGCAAATGTGATGAATAAGTCCAGAGATCAGACAGATAAGCAAAGGAAGCAGGAATGCAAACTGATGAAGAAAGTAAGGTGCAGAAAGCTGGACAGAAAGGAAGGAATAAAAGGTATCATCGCAATTGAGAAGAAACGCACCATTTCATTTGAAGGCAGCATCAAAGTACAGTCCTTTCAAGCCTACAGTTAGAGTGTTTAAATGTTAGTTAAGTTAGTTGAAATTGTACTTAATTAGTTTAGTTTCTTTTCTCTTTCCTCTTGATTAGTTGAAGCAGCTGTGTATATAAACCTTTGTACGCTTGATTCATTAATGAGAATGTACTGACACTCCCTCATATTCTCGTCACCGTTTTCATCATCTTCTGACAACGAAGGCTCAAAATGGTATAATTTGAAAGGTGGAGCTCACAATAATTGAATTTCATTGGGAAGCATGTCACCTAGCATCGCTGTGACATAGTTTTCAATCACGCCCCTAGGTAGGACATAGTTTTCAATCACACTCCTAGGTAGGAGGAGCGAGCTAGGATCCAAAGTAAAGTTAAGGGACACAACTTAGTGGAGATTATCATAGCATAAGAAAAATCTGCACAAGAATTAAAGTTCCCGTGAGCTTCACATCACCAAAATGATAGAGGGGCTGTGTTCGTGCCCCGTCATAAGTTGCAATCGCCGTCAGCCCTCTTTGACTTCTCCAAAGCGCAATCAGATAGAATTTGTTGAAAGAAAATATGCAAATTCAATCATATTTTTCAATTCTCTCTTTCCCTCTTACCAAACACGGTGTTAAAGATAAAAAGAGAGATAGAGACACTTCACACTTGCATTTTCTTTTTGCCTCTATATATACCACCATAATAGCAACTAATTCTCTCGAGAAAACCACCTCATTTCCGTTTCTAATCACAATATATTGGCAGTCTCTCAGGCAGAATAGTAGGATAAGGTTATTTCCATTTTAGTTTTTATTTCTTAATTTATTTTTAAACTAACACACTCACTCAAATGCACATTCATGATCTAATTGTATGATCAATTAACATAGTTTTATGCGAAATAATAGAAAAATCATCTAATCAAATTAAAAATTGACTGCTACCGGACCACAGAAACAGCTGTTGCTGCTGCTAGGGTACGTCCGAGAATGGCAGACTCCGCATCTAGAGGAGAAGCCCCTTGGTCCACGGGTCTTTTCGACTGCTTCTCTGATTGTTCACTCTGTATGTAATTTTTTTCTCGTCCAATCAAACTCAATTCTTCTTTCATGGGATTTAAACCCTCCTTTATAACAGGCTGCCAGACAACCTTCTGCCCATGCATTACTTTTGGCAGGAGCGCAGAGATTATAATGAAAGGATCATCTTGTAAGTATATATATATATATATATTTAACTCTCATTGGTTTTAATTTTGTTTGTGTATATCTAATGACTAATTTTGGTATTGCTATTGTTATTATTCTGCAGCTTGTTGTGAAAATTGTCTTCTCTATGCAGCGATACAATATTTAACTGGATCTCTTTTCTCCATATTGTATGGGTGCTACTATCGTAGAAAACTCAGGCAGCAATACGGGTTGAAAGCAAGCCCTTGTCATGATTATTGTGTTCACTGTTTCTGCCACTACTGTGCCCTGTGTCAAGAGTATCGCGAGCTCCGAAACCAGGGATTCGACATGAAAATTGGTAATAAAATGAATAAACAACCTCCCTTGGTTTCTCTTCATGATGACTTCATATATCTAATCCAAAAATATCCTTTAATTATTGGGTGTCTGTGTGTGTTATTCATTTAATAAAATGTCTCTAGGATGGAATGCTAATGTTGACAGAGGCGTGACAATGGCCCCGGTGGCGGAAGGAGGGATGAAACGCTAGTGAGGAACAATTTCTAGCTTGTATTTTGGCTTCTGTCAGTGCTGCTTTCTTGCGTGTGAAGGTTTAGGTTTGCAAATAACAGAGATTTTCATGAATCTCCCTGTATATATTTCTTGTTTGTGGCTTTTTTTTTCCCTGAAGGATGAATAAATTCGTGCCTCGCTCAAGGGGACAAGTACATTAGTTTGCGGCTTTGGAAGTTTGTTAACTTTTGTGATTTGGAAGAACAAAAATAAACTGAAAATGAAGAACTAAGAGAATTGTTGTATATTCTCGTTAAAAGAATATTACAAAAGAACACAGATTTATATATCTGCTACAAGGGCAAAGAAACTTGTTTATTTACGAAACTAACCTCACTATTGCTTAGTTATTTACACAAATGCCTAACCACCTTGTTGAGTATGTACACAAGTATCCTTAAGTTAATTGTGCATTACAATCACATGCATAATAATAATCTTCTTCACTCCCTCTCAAGATGAGTATGAAAGTTGAGAATATTGCTACCTTGTTGAGGAGTCCTTAAAATTATGATGGCTGTAAAGCTTTAGTGAAGATATCCGTAATTTGATCCTTGGTAGAGGCATACTGTGGAACACTAGCTTGCACCTTCTATTTAATAAAGTCACAATCCACCTCAATGTGCCTGCTTCCTTCATGGAATGTTGGATTTCTGGAGATGTGTAAGGCAGATTGATTATCACAGTACATGGTTGCAACAGCTAAACAATTACAATCAAAATTTTTCAACAAACACAATAACCAGACAACGTCACAACAAGCACTAGCCATAACTCTGTATTTTACTCCCGTAGAGCTTTTTGCAACAACTCCCTATTTCTTTGATTTTCAACTAATCAAAGAATGACCAAGGAATACTACAAAACCTGTCACAGGCCTTTTAGTATTTCTACAAGCTACCCAATCACTGTCTATGTACACTATGAGATATATGTCAGAAGCAGAAGAAAACAATATACCTTGTCTCTATGCTTTCTTTAGGTATTTCAATACCCTATAAGCAACTTCAAAATGCCCAACGGTTGGTTTGTCCATGAATTGAGACAAAACTTGTACTGAATATGCAATATCAGGTTTGGTGAATGTAAGATATAACAGCTTTCCAACTAACTATCTATACATAGTAGAATCTGTCAAGATTGTGCCATCATCATCTTTAGAAAGCTTGTTGTTATACTCAATGGGGGTTGTCAAAGGTTTAGCTCCAAGAAACCATACTCATTAATTAGATCTAGAGTATACTTCTTTTGACATACAAAATTCTTTTCTTGGACCCAGCAATCTCTAAGCCTAGAAAATACTTAAGTTCACCCAAATCTTTAATCTTAAACTGTGTCTTCAAATAGTTTTCACTTTCCAGTTGCTTAATACAAGAACCAACAATTATTATATCATCTACATAAACCAAGAGTGCCACAAATTCTCCATTCTTTTTAGCTTTTTTAAACATAGCATAATCTACTCTAAACTATTGAAATCCAAACTTTAATAAAGAGTTTGTAAACTTATAGTTCCATTATGTAGAAGCTTCCTTCAAGCCGTATAATGATTTATTAAGTCTATATACCATCGAGAAGTCGTAGAACACTCCCCTTGAAATGTATATCCTTAAGGAAGATCCATGTACACTACCTCATCCAAGTCTCAATCAAGGAATGCATTGCTTATGTCTAGTTGAGACAAGTGCCACCCTTTAATAGATGCCATGGCTAAAAACACTCTTATGGTTGTGTGTTTTGAAACCAAACTAAAAGTTTCATGGTAGTCAAATCATCTAGTTAACTATATTCTTTAGTTACAAGACGAGCCTTGTACCTTTCAATGCTACCATCAGCCTTAAACCCACTTACATTCAATAACATGTGCAGCATTTGGAGAAGGAACTATTGTCCATGTTTTGTTATTCTCCAAAGCATCAAGTTCATTTTTCATAGCATTTTTCAACTTATCATATGTGATAGCTTGATGAAAGTATTTTAGTTCGGGAATATGATCAAGAAAAGCTGTATAAGCTTTTTAGGTTTCAGACAATTGATTAGTTGACAAAAAACAAGAAATAAGTTGTGCTGTAATTGGATTAGAATAAGTAGGTAAGTTATGGTGATAAAGGTCAAGGTATTTGGGAAGCTATCTAGGTCGAACACTTTTTCTAGTGTTTATTGGGTGAGACATCAATTACAGGAACAAAAGAGCAATGATAGGTGTCAAGAGCATGTTGGTCAGAAAAATTAGGTGGAGAAATATGAACATTCTGATTGTAAACGGGGTTTTTGTGATGAGAGGAGGAAGCGTTGCAAACAAGTAAGGGACATACAGAAGGTGACGAAAAGGAAGATTAGAGCAGTTCCTGAAGCACTAAATGTTATGGCAGGTGGAAGAGAATAAGAAAAGAATAAGTGTTCTAAGAGAGAATAGGCTAAGGAGAAAAGCTATGAGTTAGAATCCAATCGTTCTAAAAAAGTCTCCCTTTTGAGTTGTGAACACTCTATATATATAGTGTCAAAAATAACAGTTACAAGAAAAAGTTTTAATACGCATAATGAATAATATCATTAAGGAGAGTTTTAATGTTAGGTAACCGTTACTGAGAGTTAATGTTGTGTAACGGTTAAAAACTTATTATGTGACCATTGAAATAATTATATTTAATAAAATTTGTTCTCGAGTAAGAGTTAATAAAGAAAAACTATACGTGAACAGGTACAAAAGAGGAAGCTGTACATGAACAAGTACAAGAGAAAAGGCTGTACGTGAACAAATATAAAAAAACAAGGAAAAAGTAAAAAACATTTATACTTCAGGAAAAGGTTAAGGGAGACCTCTTAACTACCTCCATATCTGAACCAACAAGCCAAACACTCCGGAACATCCCAATATGAAAATAACCCATGAACCATGCCACCTAGTCCGGATTACTTTCACTATCATCTTTGTGAAATTATTATTTTGTACAAAATAATTGTTCTACTTGTATTAATTGTTTTACGTGAAGTAATGCTCCACCTATTCTAGTTGTTCTGTGTGAAGTAGTGCTTCACTTATAATGGTTGTTTTCATTATTCTTTATATAATGTTACGCGATAAAATAATTTTTTAGAAAATAAGTATTAACTAAAATCGACTATCTACACTGATTAATAGAAATAAGTGTAGATACGTGTTAGTAGTTGCCAAACCATGATCAATATGATTAAAATGTAGAATAGAATGAGAATTCCCATGTGAACTAGAAAGATTAGGACTATCAAAATCAAAATTTGAAGTAATACAAGAATCAGAGAATAAAGGATGTGGTAAATGATAATGAGAATCATTATAAATGTTTTTAGGAGTAAAGAATTGAATATAATTTTATGTGATGGACTCAAAATCCATAAGAAATGGAAACAAATGTTCAAAGAATAGTACATCTCTAGAAACAAACAGTTTGTGTGCATTCAGATTATATAGTTATAACTTTTAATTCCTATGGAATAACCAAGAAAAACACACCTTCTAGATCTAGAATCAAATTTTTTTTCTATGATTAGACAATGTAGAAGCAAAACATAAAGAACCAAAAACCCTTAAATGTGTGTAAGTAGGACTTTTTTTAAAAAGAATTTGATAAGAAGTTTTATTCTTGAGAATTGGAGAAGAAAGCCAATTTATAACATGTGTAGCCACAAGAATGGACTCACCTTAAAATTTGATAGGTAATAAGAACTGAAACATAGGAGACCTAGCTACTGTCAATAAGTGTTGATACTTCTTTTCAATTACACCATTCTGTTGAGGTGTGTCAACACAAATGTTTTGATGAATAATTGTTTTTGAGGAATAGAATTCAACAAAATTAAACTCTTCTGCATTATCTATTCTAATTTGCTTAATACTTTAACCAAATCGATTGTATATAAGATTGTAAAAAGAATGTATAATGCCAATAACATATGACTTAGCTCTGAACAAGAAACTTCAAGTAAATCTTGTAAAATCATCAGAATAGTAAAAAAAAATGTTGACTAGTAATAGTGTCATAATGTATGGGTTCAGGAATCTGACCACTAGAAGTGGAAAACTTAAGAGTCACCACCAATCTTTTTTATCTAGGTGTGATTGGCCATCTATTAAATTTGTTCTATTCGACGGAGTCCTAAATTGATTTTCAATCCGTCTAAAGAATAATAAATTGGTTTGCAAGTTTTAAAAGTTGGGTTTGGGAATACGGTTACCCATGGAGAAGGATTAACACCCCTGTGATGCCCATTCTATAAACAATACTATTTAATCATATGTTATCCTATTATAGCCTAAACCATTGATTTTATTCTTATGTTTCTCTAATTATTATTTATTTATTTTATTCTTTATTTTATTGGCAAATTAAAACTTTTTATTTAGTTTTACGAGTGTGACATATATATGATGCAATTATGAAATGTATGGTATAAAATTTAGATAATGCTAAACAAAACCTTTTATTAAGGATATTTTTCAAATTCGTCCATTATACTAGTGAGATTCGAGAATATTCTCTCACCTAAGGAATTATCTAAGAAACTCGTTTTTATAAGTTTAACGAATAAATCTCATCATTGGGGTAGTCGTTTACAGGTAAAGATAATACTTTCATAAATTTATTTTCATGAATGTAGATCTTAATACGAGCTGAAGTCTTTTATGAAAAATATTCTTCGAGCCTTCACATCATATTGATGGGACTCGAAGGTATCTTTCACCTAGAGAATTTTTCAAAAGAACTCGTTTTTGCAAGCTCCCTCGAAAAGCCCCATCTTCGGGGCTTCAACTCGTGCATATAATATGTCTACATGCGATGACATTTAATGGTGTAATAATGATGTGTGATGTGCCTATAAATTTTAATATTTTTTTCTTAACTTTCCCACAACTCTTTTGTTATTTCTTTGAAAATTCTTTATTTTTGTATGTGTGTGTGTGTGTGTATCATGAAATAATGTTTTATATTATTATTTTCATCTAACTATCTTTTATTTTATTATATATTTTTATATTTAAGTATTTATCGATTTTGCAATATATATTTTCCTTTCACCCAAATGCTATTTTTTTAACAAAATATTATATTTCATAATTATGATGATATATATATTTTTTATAACTCAATTTCTTTTCTACTCTTTTAAATTACCTAACCTATGTTCTATTTGTATAGCTATTAGGTTTATTTTTTATCTTTTCTCATAAATCTATTTTCCATAACTAAATATTTGCCCCTTATACTTTAATTTTATCCATTATTATTATGAGTTTACTATCTTTGAAATTTTTACTTTTACTACTTATTTATCATTACGAACATCATTATTTTTTTCATAGTCCTATATATTTTTAAGACTATATTTTCATCTATTCCCTCTTGTATTTATTATTATTATCATTATTATATTATTATATTTATTATTTTCATTATTTCATTGTTTCTTTTTTTGTTTCTATGTTTTTGTTTGGTTAGTAATTAGGTTAGTAGGTTTTTCATTTACTTAGAATTTTAAACATCGGGATTCAAAATTAAGACTCTCCCATCGTACTGGTAAGGTCTTAAATGAAATCCCTAACCTTAAAAAGTTTATTTGGAATTGTGACTTCTCGCGTTCCAAATTAACATTCCATCATCGGTGCAGTAATATACTATTCCTAGAATTATTAATATTGAAGTATTTTTAGACCAGACTTATATACTTTCCTAGTTATTAATGTTGATAATAAATATAAATTTTATTATTATTATTATTATTATTATTAGTACTTGGCTATAAATATCTACTTTTTACCTACATCTATTTTTTATAATAAAAAATTCCACCCTATTATTGTATACATGTATATTTTACTTAATCTACCTTTCTGTGAATAAATACCTTTTCTATATTTTTAGTATATTTTATCTTTTGTAACAAAATAAATTTTATTTTTGCTGGCTTACTTAATCTATTTTCTTGTGATTAAATCTATTTTTTCTACTTAGCCTATCCTTTCTTGAAACTAAATATTTCATTATTTGTTATATTTTTCATCTATCTAAACTCATTTCTCTACAACTAAGCATTTTCCTATTCTTTCTTATTTAAATTATTCTTTCTTAGGATTTCCTTTTGGTTTTGTAAATTTTTCTTTTCTTTATGAATTTTAAGGATTCTTATAGTACCGAATTGTCCAAATTTTTGAACAATCCAATAGTGAAATTATACTCTTTTGAGCATGATTTCACAAGTGAGGGGCTAAAATCACTTGATTCTAAACAAATTACTTATTCACATATGAAAATACAGCTATTTTATGACGTTCTATAAAACAAATTATAGTTGCTACTTCTTCTAACCATACAAAAATTTTAGTAATTCATGAGGCAAGTTATAAATGTGTCTAGTTAATATATGTAACTCAACATATTTGAAAAATGTGTAGCTTGTCAACTGAGCAAGAAATTTCAACAACGTTATGTGAAGACAATATCGCTTGCGTAGCATAATTAAAGGAATGATATATTAAAGGCAATAGAATAAAACATATTTTGCAAAAATTCTTCACTCATGATTTTCAAGAAAAGGATGGTATTAGTGTTCAATAAATTTGTTCAAGTGGTAATTTAGAAAATTTGTTAACAAAAGTCCTTACTACTATAACATTTGAAAAGTTAGTACAAAAGATCAGAATACATCATTTTAAAGATTTTACATAATGCAGTCATCATGAAATACGTATGGTACTCTTTTCTTTTATCAAGGTTTTCCCAACTAAATTTTTTTAGATAAGGTTTTTAATGAGGTAGTATTTTAAAAATGTATTCTTGATGAGAATTATTTACTTTTTTCCTCCACTCTAATTTTTTTTTCATTAGGATTTTTCCTAGTAAGATTTTAATGAGATATTTAAGGTGGAGTATTATGAATATTTCTGAGAATATCTATTTATATTATACATATCTAGATTTGAATATAAAATAGATTAGATTAAGATGAAGATTTAATTTATCCATTTAATGGTTTAATATTATCTTCATTTTGTAAACTCTATCCAGATAAGGAACTATTACCCTATAAATAGTCTACTCATTTCATTTATAAATACACAAATGAATAAGATTTTCTTACTCTTCTAAATAGTTTCTTTCCCTTTAAATTCTTTCTCATTTCAAAACAACAAAAAATAAATAAAAATTTTGAACAAATGAATGAGCTTTGATTAACGATAGATGTGGTTTGCTTTGCGATGGGGATTTGGTAGTGGTTTGACTTACCTGGTTTTTGGGGCTTTTCAAGCCCATTATGACCTTTGGGAGCTCGGGGAGGTTTCTTGTTAGGGCTGATTATTCAAGCTTTTTGGCATGGGAAACTTTATGGGATATGGGGAAGGGTTCTTTTGGTGATGATCGTTTGGGGTTTGGTGATGGGGGTGGGAGATGTTAAGTGTGGCGAAGGGGTTCGGAGTGAGTGGAAAGTTGATGATTCAGGCTTTCTTGTATAGTAGGGTTTATGGGAATCGGGGAGGGAGGTCTTTTTGTAATGAACCATAGGGGTTTGTTGATGGGGGATGGGTGATGTCAAGTGGGGGTAAGGGGTTTGGAGTGAGTGGAATGGTTTGGAAGAGTGGAGATCCGAGGGGTTTGTTTGGTGGTGTCGGCATGGTTTTGCAGCTGGTTTGGATTTCGAGGGGTTGTCTGGTTGATGGAGGTGTCAAGGAGTCTTCATGGAGTCAGGTGGAGGGTCTCGGGATGTCTCGTTAAGGGATTGTCCTAGAGGTGACATGGCTGTTTTTTCAGCTCATGTCTCGTGGTCTTGGCTAATGCTGTTCAGGGTTGGTTTGCAACTGTTTGCGGATTGATTGGAGGTTTTTTGCACCGGTGGTCTCATTGATTGATGGTGTTGCCTGATGTATGATTTTGTATTTCTGGTTGTGGCGTGTGGACGGTGTGGATCGTGGAGGATTGACCCATGATCGCTTGGCCCTTGGCGTGAAGTGGCTTTTCTGCTTTTCTTGGTGTGGCTCCATTGTTCCATTTTTTTCTGGTTTCCGTAATTGTGTTGCAATAATGATTCGTAGGGATCATCTTTTCTCCAGCTTCAGTGACTTTTTAAGGTTTTGGATGTCTTCTTGGGTTTTCCCGTTGGTTCAGTTGTGTCTTTGGCTGTGGGCTTTACTTTTGTTTTCTTCTGGAAATGCTTTGTCGCATGTTTTTGCTCGACCCCTGATGCTCTGAATGGCCAAGTTCTGTTTCGGGTTCTGCATCACAATCCTGTTGTGTTGATACGGTGGACATTACCTTTGCAATGTTTTCTTTTGTTTATTTTATAGGTGCAGGATTAAGTTTTTAGGGAGTCCTGCGTGCCGCCATTTCCTTGTTAAGCAGCATTGAGATTTTGTCAATGTACCGCTCTCTACCCATGCCATGCCTTCCATGCCAGACAAAGTCTTCTACCAACTAGCCAAAAGACTTGGTGGAAGAATCTTCACCAGAAGGGATGAAACAGGGATGTTAGTTGATGTAGGTTCGTTCCAATGCCACATATTTTGGATGCGAAGCAACTAAGCTTCAGGAGGTGGACTACAAAGGGACAAGTTTTCTATTCTGTCAATGGTTGGGTCTCCTCAAAAGCTGTTTTCATCTCTGGTTTTTCTGTCTTCTTGTCTACTGAATGGCAGGAGTCTTTGGCTTAACCTGGGTAGTGGGTACTTTATCTGTGAAGTACAAGCATTTAAGTTGTGGAGTTGCGTTTTGCCTTGTGTGTTTTCTTGTTCACACTATGATTGTCTTCATGAGGTTAGGCTAGTTTCTTTCTCTTTGGAGAGTCTCTTGGACAAGCCAGGATAAGATAAGCCTCTGTCAAAATCTTCTCAAGTATAAACGTTACTAATTCTTCTGAAGCTCAGGTTAGGTAGATGCCAACAATAGTCTTAAACCAAAAGATTTGAGACTGTGGATGGCACACTGAGGCTGATGCTAATATATCTGCCTTTCATAGGAACAAATAGATGTGTTTATGCATAACATCTCTAAAAGCTTCTCATTTTGTACCGAATAAAACCAAATCATTCACTTCACAGCATATGATATTTTTGTTTAATAGTTAAAATAGTAGTAATAGTAAGTGGCAGAAGAAACTTAGAATATGAGGAAAAAAGGAGATTCGGAAATGCATGCCCAACACCTCAAAAGACCAAAGGCACTCTACTTTCATTAAATTCACTATAATTTTGTTCAATTCAACCTTCACATTTCACTAAATCTTAAAATGCAGTCATTTTGCTAATGAACTAGTCACAAAGTACCTTTGCTAAAGGGTAACGAGTGTTGACTATTGAAAAAGTTATTGAGGTGAATGGTGATTTTTAAAAATAATTAAAGTTACGTGAAATGAATTATTTAAAATTAATTAATTAATAAAAAAACCAAAAAAATAATTAATTTTTAACTCACCGAAGTTGTGAAATGTTTAATTCAATTAACAAAAACACAATTCGAGTATATAAAGATGTATTTAAATATTTAATTTTAATTTTAGTATCAAATGTATATGTAATTAAGCTAAAATATTTCCATAATCTATATAAAATAAAGTAAATATTACTAACTTGTAGTTGTCGGATGCTCAAAATTTATAGGTGATGGTAATCTTTTTGTTCTTGTTCTATCATTTTTGTGTAAAGGTAGTATATAGGGTTTAGGGTTTAGAAAAACGTGTGGCTGCTTGGACATAAAACGCCAGTGGCAAGCACATCACAAGATGACCCCAACCATACTAGAAGGAAATATAATCCTTCACTGAGATTCATTTGGGTTCTCATACTGAAGACTCATCAACAAGTCCAAGATCAGTCAACATCGTTCATAAAGATCTAAGTTGCCTTCTTTGTATGTATCTACTTCCAGTAAATATCTACAGACCCAAGGAAAAAACACAAAACAAAACTAGATTGGTGACTTAAAATTCTTTAGTTTCAGAAGAAAATGATTTGTTGGTAATTTAGAAAATACAAGCCTCGATAAAACTGCTATTTTTCGAGCTTGGTAGTGGTTCTTATTCAGCCGGTTTCATGCTCAGTTAGCGTGAGATTCCTTTTTTTTTTTTTTTGCTTTTATCCTTTTGCTTTTCTGTTAGTTTTCATGTTTGTTTCTTCCTCTTCTGGGAATATTTTTCTTGCTGAAACATATATGGCTATCAATTTTAGGTTGATGTGTTCTCTGTTTTTGCGCTTAATTATGCTTACACGTTTCTTGTGTGTTGCAATTAAGGACCAAATATAAGGTGTATACATTGTCAAAATATGAGCCAACTCTAGGTGCTGAAAGAGAGCCATCCATTCAACCTAGAATATCATATTTATTATAATGAAATAGTTAAAGTCACAAGTAAATAGACACCTCCCTAAGCCAGACCGTGTGATTGCTTGACCTCGTTAACTTTATTCATTTTGCTATTTGTCTCTATAAATATCATATCAGCATATCTGGCAAAGACAATTACCGACCTTTGAAGATTTTCTTGCTGCAAAGATCAACAATGGCCAGCCTTCCAGTGAACTCAGTCAGCTCCAAGCTTGGCCAAGTAAACCCTTGGTCCACGGAACTTTTCGACTGCTTCTCTGATTCTTCCCTCTGTAACTACCCTTTCTATTCTTCCTCTCCCAATTAAACAAATATTATATTCTTCTTCGAAGGCATATTCAGAAATCATGGGAATATTTAACTAAGTTTTAAATCCTCTCTTTCTCTAATTTCAACAGGCTGCAAGACATGCTGTTGCCCATGTATTACTTTTGGCCAGAACGCAGAGATTATAGACCAAGGTTCATCCTGTAAGTACATATGCAGAGGCATGCATACGAATATATCATGCACTTTGAAACTTTCTTTCTTGCTTTATTTTCTTTCACTGGTTTGATTTTGAAATCGGTGCTTGATGTTATGTTGCAGCTTGTTTTCTAAATGCTTCTCTCTATGTGATAATGCATCACTTTACTGGTTGTGGGCTTTCGTTTTTGTACGGATACTTCTACCGTCGAAAATTGAGGCACCAATACGGGTTGAAACAAAGCCCTTGTCATGATATCTGTGTTCACTGCTGCTGCCACTACTGTGCCTTGTGTCAGGAGCAGCGCGAGCTCAGAAGCCAGGGATACGACATGCTAATTGGTATGAGAAGAAATTAAGGAAAAAAAGGAAATATTAGTAGCTAAAAGAACTATAAATCTCAAGTTTCATATATGTATCCAAATCTTAATCACTGTTAGTATTGTTTTTCATGAAATTAAACGATGATTGGGCTGCTTGTTAGGATGGCAAGCAAACGTGGAGAGACAGAACCGCGGCGTAACAATGGCTCCCATGGCGTACGGAGGGATGAAACGATGAGAATGTACAGTGGAAATTATTTCCATTTTCTAGTATTTGCTGTTATGTATGGTTTACTTCGTGCAGAACGATGTTAGGTAGTGGGTTTTTATTGTGAAGTAACTGATTATGTAAGACATGGATATTGTACCGTTATTTTTTTTACGTGTTGTAGTCAATTATATTTTCTCTCTCATTTTATTTTTTTCTAATTCTCTGTTTTGTCTTTTATTATTTTAACAAATTATAGTTTACAATTAAAACAAAACTTTTGAGATTTTCAACAGTGTCTTTAGGACATTACGGGGCTTAGGAGATGAGTGCTTTTTTTGGTTTGCTCTTGCGTCTGTGTTGTTTTGGACTTGTGTTTCTCATGTTAGGACGATGGACAAATGCACAAATAAACACCCTATATTTTTCATACTAAAAATAAATAAAAACACCTCGCCCTGTATCCATCTACTTTTCATACTAACATGTTCAGCACAAATACTGAAATCTTATTGTTCTAATATCAAACAAAGAAATGACAGATTCTGCACCAATAGTAAATGATAAAGAATCTGGAAATATTAGTAGTCTGAAAAATCCAAACAAGACACAAAATATTTCCCTCAAAGTTTACATAATTTACATGCATTGTTGTTTTCGTCTCAAGTCTTTTGCGTTTCGAACCATTTAGCACAACCATATAAAACAGCTCGTACTCATTTCTTTTGCCTTTACATGCCATAACTTATTAATCATCGGCGACAGGTTTAAGGCTTGTTCTTGGGGATTTCGTTGTTAGGTATATAAACAACAAGGAAATGCACATGCTCAATACAGTAAAGAGAAATTGCAGGCAATTTCATTTTACGTTTCTGATATATTGCAAAGCCTCTTCTCCAGGCAAGTACACACCAGAGACTAACCCCTGAGTTCCTAACTCTCTAAACACTTACATGCTATCTTTGTCCAGGTAAATTACTCTTCACTCATGCACTGATACATGCTATCTTTGTCCAGGTAAATTACTCTTCACTCATGCACTGATAAACCCAAACTTGGGCACTATGCTAATGGTCAGATCCACACTATAATCGATCCTTTCAGTTTGTCTGCATTCCAGCATTAGATTTTGCCCTGGCTTTTTCTTAGCAAGTTCGCACTATGTTCAGAATTCCTCAAATCAAAGTATGTAATAACATCTTAAAATTACTGAAAACAAATTGATGTAAAGTTTTACACCTTTGAACCTGAACATTGACTTGAAGTTGCTAGCTAGAATCATGGCAATAACCGACTTCTTCTGCAGAATGCCAAAGCCTCTGACTTAAAAGAACAAAAGTAGGAAGAACAACTCCCCTGTTTAGAATGCATACCATGATGTACTATTTAATGATTTCAGAAACAAACCAGTTACAGGACAAATAAATTTCCTGGACTGAATTCTATAATTAAGAAACGCATAGCCACTGGCCCTTAAATGTCACAGCAATAAAGATCCAAATAGAATAGAATACGAGCCTGCAGGTAAAAGATTATAAAAGTTAAATCCTGAACATAAACCATTATGAAGAAGGCATTTGAAAGAGGAATATTTTTATGCCTAAACATTGGCATGTGCGCAGAGTCACATCAGATATTAATGTACAAGCCCATATAAACATACAAGTTCAAGATCCAGAACAACCAAAATTCAGATAACTTTCTGTAAGCAAAAAAAAGAGACCAGTTTAAGGGAAGCTGTCCTAGGTTCAGAAGCAAGCAACCAACTTAACAGTTAAATTTAACATGTTCATATATGCAGGTAACTCAGGTTGCTTGGATTTTTCTCAAAAGACCTCCTCTTACCAAAAAAACCAGGTTGAAAATTTTTTTAAATTAAAACCATCTGCAGGTGGATACACAAAATCTAACATCAAAAGTTTGAAACAGATTACCTTGTATGTGTATTTCTACTGAGAAATTAACAGGTCACTTCTCATGGGAAGGTAACATCTAGACATGACTTCTGGGATCAACAACCTGGTGCACCTTCCTGGATTCAGCACTTGAATACTGTCCCACTACACGAGCATGAGGAACTGATGCCTCACCACGGGCAAGAGCATCCACATTCTCAACGAAGTACTTTCTTGGAAGCCTGCCGACAACATTGCCTTCCTCATTCCCATCTTTGTCCAGGAATGCAAAGTGTGGAATACCCTCAACACCAAACTCATCAAGTTCCTGCTCCCACTTTGTGTTGTCAACATTCAACATAACAAAATTCACACGATCCCTGAACCAAGGGTGGTAATTGGGTGTTAAGAAGTGAAGTAATTTATGAAACACAGAAACTATCCACAAGGATTAAAAATATGTTAAATTCATCAACCAACAGCTAAAAGGCTTAATCCCCTCAAAATGTTTCCAAAACCAGAAAACATTAACAAATAGTATCTTTTAAAGGAGAACATGGATATCCATTACAATTGAGGCTAATGGCTTGGGGCTAAAAATGCATTTCTCTTCCATTGAAAAAGTAGAAAGAAGAAGGATTGATAGAGATAAATGACATTACTAACACAATTAAAATGTGAAGTCATTACCTGTATTCCTGCTCTACTTTATAAATATCTGGAGCTAATTCCCGGCATACTTCACACCAATCTGCATAGAACTCAATAACAGTTGGCTTTCCATTTGAAAGAGCCTATGAACCAGCCAAAAACGACAAGTGTTAGACAGATGTTGCAACCCTAAATTCCAGCAAATGAATATCACATCAGACTAGTGTCTTAACAGACATGAAGGTTAAACCTTATCCTAATACCAAAACAAAGTAAAACCTAAAGAGATGTAATTCTTAACTAGAATACAAATTCAACAAATTAAAGAAAAGTTAAATAATTAAGCCTCCCCTCTCTAAAAATTGTCCTCAAAGAAGAAATTCCACCATCTGATTAGAAGGAACCTACACAGCTATCAGAAAGAATGACATATTGTCGACTGTTTTTTTGTTGATGAAGTTGTATGTACAAGTTACAATCACAATAAACTATTCCATCTCATATAGAATTTAATGATAAAAATCAAACAAACAAAATCAGCATATAGCTGGACAAAATCCAACATAAAGTTGGACCAATCCCCAGAAAATGGGACTTAAAACCGGGATCTAAAGGTTCCAGGACCTCCTCCTTGCCATTGAGACAATGCCTCATTGGCATGTTGAACTTATTTTAGACGTGGAAATAGCCACTTTAACCTAGCCTGTCAACCTAGGATTCACCTGAACCTGGATCCTTACAATATGCAATATCAAGTGATTAGAAAAGTTAAGAAAATCAAACCTCTTCATAAGGCATTGCTGCAGCAGATAAGTCCTTCAAAGAAACACCAAAATCTAATCGTGACGACAAGAAAAGCCCCACTGCTGCAAGGGTAGAACCTACTGCTATTCTCCTATTCATATTTTTGTTTGGAAATTCAGAAAATCCACCACCGACAGACGAAGTTGTAGCTTGGCTAGTGCTATCTTTGACTGAATCAGGCTCAACAAGTACCTTCTCCTGCCCCAAGAAGGAGATGATAGGCATATTAAAAGTTTAACTGGGAGGAAAAATGGAATGATGCCTTTGCTAACAGTTGAAGCTTGACATTAATTAATGAAGTAATGTAATGTATTAAGTCAGAAGACTAGCAACTTCAAGACATTTCTACGTTGGACCTGCTGCATAGCATTTTAGTACTGAGTTGACTCTACACAGAAGTATGCATTGGTAGGGATCAATCCAACAACATAATATGAATCCACAACATGATCCCTAATGTGCAAAACTCGCTTAATTAGATTCTTAGTCTAATCATGCATAAAAGTAGAACATAGCCCAAACATGCCACCAAAAGAAGAGGGAGGGAGAAGTTTTTGGCGACCAACAATTTTTAATATTAATATCACTTTTTTTATACCTTCATATTAACCCCTGTTTATATTCAAATCAATTAGCCATTTCAACTACCATCAAGTCCCTAAGGAGTGACCACTATTGCGGAATAGTAACTTTTACGTAATTTTTCTATTGCATTCAAAAGAATGGGTTTGTTTAAGAGTTCCCTAAGGACATTAGTTAAAGTTACTATTAAAGGAAACATCTTTCATTCAATGCATCGAGAATTACCATATAACTATTAATTGCTTCATTTACTGTGAAAATATTTCTACAGATAGTACCTTAACAAGTGCTTGTTAGCAAAACCTTCAAAGAATTAACCACACAAGCCAAAAACAAGGCGACCCAAAACTTGGATGAAGCAATATTATAGCTTTTTATCCTTGAGTTACTCATCATAATCCTATACAACTATTCACATGCTATAGGTAGCAATTAACCCATAAATTATGCTAATCAGGAAACTATCTCTTTCTACTACTAGGATATCCCTTCAAGGCAGAGTAAAACAATATATCTGTCTCTGCTTGCTGTAATTGACAAAAAACAATTTGCCCTCTGCTAAAATTAATAGCAACGCTTTACACAAATGAAGATAGCAGGCAAATAGTTATGCATGAAGAAGGGTAAATTAAAAGCAGAGACACAAAGAAAGAGAGACTTACCTTGTTGGATGGCTCTGTTTCAGTGGGAGTTGGATTTGTTTGACAAGCGATGGTTTGAAACTTGCGAATTCTACTCTGAGAAAGGAATGGAGATTTGTAGAGCTGAATAGACTCTGAAACCAGAAAGGAAGGCCGAAATCTAGGAAGAGTAAGAGGGTTTGAGGCCACGCGAGCCATGGGAGATATTTCCAGTTGACAATCTCAAATTTTTTGCTTCTGGGTTTGCTTTGGTAGTTAAAAGAGTTCTGAAACTCTAGCACGGTCCTGCAATCTCATTATTTGCTCCTGGATAAGCCACGTAATGCAATTTACAAGTACTAGTGTCTGGCCCTTAAGTTGAAGACCGACTTGGCTATTCCTTGCTTCCAAGTAAAAGATGTGACTTTGTTTTATTCAACAAAAATTGAAATATGATTTTGAGAAGTGAAGATGAGCAACTTAATTTGTACAAATATTTTGTTGGGAATGTAATGTTAATTTTTAAAATTATCTTTATTTATTAAAATGTAAGTTTAATATATTTGTATATTTTATTATTAATTTTTATATAATATTATTTTTTAAATATATTTTTAATGTCATATATTTTATTTTTTTTTATTTTTTATTATAATCTTATATATTTTATTTTTATTTTTTAACATAATTTTTTATATTATATATTTTATTTTAATTTCTTTTACTTATATTATATAAATTTAATTTCTTATATTTTATTTTATTTTAATTTTTGGTTCTTATATTATATATTTTATTTTAATTATAACATTACAAAATATTTTTAACAAGGTAATAAAGTTGAAGGGTAAAAATATCTTTAAAAACATTGCAAAATGTAATGTAATGTGATTGCATTGGTGTTAAACTGCAATCACATTACATCCCTTAGTTTTAATGTGATTGAATTGCAATCTTATATTACAATATTTTGTTGCAAAGCAAACACTATAATATAATTTAATTGAGCATATTATAAAAAATGTGCTCTCACTTCTCTTATACTAAACGCTACCTCTAAGTAAGCAAATGCAAATTCCGTTTGTGTAAACCTAAAACTTGTAATTAGGGTACGGCTTGTCCAAATTAGATATTTTAGGTTATTTTAAGGTCATTTTTTTTAAATTAAAAATAATCTCATACACCAAAATAGTGGTACTCTTTTCATTTCAAATCGAATATTGACCTTTCTTTTCTAGTTCATTTTGAACTATGTCCATTTTTCTTTTTTAACACCAACAGCCCTTAGTTTTGCAATATTTCATATTAATTTTTTATTTTTTTTAATTTTGACATTAAAAATCATAATTTATCAATGCTATTAAATATTTTTAAACAATACACTAAAAATAAAAATGTTTGTCTTAATATTCATGTGTCAAGTTAAAAGGAAGGAACTATTTAATTTTAGACATCAATATTCAGTATAAATGTGTGTGAAGCTTTTACTTTGTCTTTAAAGGTAATTTACACCTCAAAATCATAAGTAGAAAAAAAATTATTATTGTTATAAATGTTAATTTTGTATAACTATTCATTCATCATCATATATTTTTAACTTAAAATTTTTAAATGCAATTCGACATGTGAAATTCATTCGATAGGAAGTACGGACTTGATTTTGGGTTGATGTGTGAATCAAGGTCCGACAAATGCATGAATAGCTTGAATAGCTATTTCTAACCACACCTTCCTACAAAGTGGATTGAATAGCTTGTCATTGCAACTCCCTAACAAATTTGTTGTATGAAAAAACCTAATAAATTTGATAGGCAAATAATTCTACGTCCCATGTGGGCAGGATAAGGCTTGCCGGCCCTCAGGGAGGATGATAAGCCCAGCAACACGCCAGGAGCTAATGGCTCTTATGGAATCCCAATTGAATGAGCTTTGATTTTTCCCACCCAAAATTAAAATTCAGTGCTGCACTTTGCTTGTCTTCCATGATCTCTTAAAATTCAAGGTGATTTATTCATTATGATTACACCACTGTATTTATTCAGTAGCAATTTGAGAATTTTAGTTACTAGTAATCTTAAATAAACCAAAGTCATTAGATTATTGTTTTGAGAGATGACATAATCTCATCCAAAAAATGAAAAAGATTCAGAATTATTTATTACAGAAGGAAGGTTACTCTGGTGTAACCTTTTATTTAGTTAGAATACATAAATGACTTTGATTGCTTGTTTTAGGAAACTACACTCATCAAAATGTTCATGTCTTGTAATTCTCTAGAGTATGACGAATTATTTTTATTTTATAAACTGTTTGTTCAATAAAAATTAAAATATTTGTTTTTTGTTTTTTTGGAAAGGCCAAACTTATTAGGCTAAATCTGGATGTCGGTTTTGATTGACCTTTTCCCCCATCAACCACGTTCCTCCTCTCAAGTACCATTCATTGCAGTATACCACAGGCCAACTACCTCCCATCTATTCCTGTTCTTCATCATCAGAGTCATGCACAATTCTATTCCTTAATTTTCACCTGCTTGACAGTGGGAACAGAACCTCTATCTTCAGCATCACATTCAGACTCCTCTTCAGCTAAAGCACTACCAGGTTGAGGTGACAACACTTTCTCTGATCCATTTCCTTCATCATCTTCAGAATCACTGCATGATTCATTTCCATCTGCACCAGAATTGTTGGGATTAGGATCATGGTTGGGGGATCTTCTTCTCTGGGAACAGTTGTTGGGTCCAAAATTTGAAGTCCCTTGAAGTGCTACGCTTGGCATGCTTCAATAAGTTGCCCTTGGTTGCCTTGCTAAGGCGGATGAGATATTTCTCGCAGTCTTCTATCTAGAATATTAGGTCTGGGATGCATTTATTCTCCCTTTGATCTTGTTTATGATGCCCTTGCTGTTAGCATTTTCTTGTTGAGCTTGTTGCATCTTAAAATTGTTGCTTTTTTTAAAATTTTTATAATTAATTATTTTGGATATTCTGTACTCATTGATCTTTTCTTTTTCTATACAATGGTAACTTTATAATATATATCACATCAAAGATAGTATTCTAATATTACGAGAATCTCAAAATCATAATGATTAGATTATCGAAATGATTTTGAAAGTGATTCCAAATACAAAATGAAATAAAGATACTGCAATTTCACTTTTATTTGCAACATTAACAATTTTAAAGTACATTTGAAATTAAAAAAAAAAAACATCATCTTGTGAACTTATGGCTTTCCCCTTTTCACAATCTTCATCAGACATCTTCGATATACAGATAATACAATCATCCAAATGGAAGGAAAATTAAAAAAAAAAAAAGAAGATAGAAAGAGAAAAAAAAAAGTAAAGAACAAGGTAGTAAACACATTGATATATATTAAGAGAGCAATCCGTTATCTATCTGCTCATCCCTTTTTCCACCACTGGAGCCATCGCCAGTCCTTGATTCTTCTCCACATTTGCATCCCAACCTGCATACATATAAATATATATATCCCCACAAGATTAATTAAACATGAATAGAAATCAATGAATTTTTACAACCTACTCAAAAATATTTAAAGTTGAAGAAAGTTTCAACTTGATGCAGTAAATAGTGAGGAGGGTTTACATACCGATGGACATGTCGAATCCACGGTTCTTGAGCTCACGATATTCTTGAGTCAAGGCACAAGTCTCGCAGAAAAAATGAAGCATGCAATCCCCACAGCCGCCTCCCTTCAACATATACTGCTTTCTCATTTTGGTGCGGTAAAAGCAAGAATAGAAGCATGGACAACCGATGATTAACAGTATTAATGTGTATAGTGCCCCACTTGCACCACAAGCTGCAGCACCAATAGTCATTACGAATTAAAAAATCGTCTTTAATTAGACATATATGCACTTGATATATCATTGCAAAATCAACTTGTAAATTAATTTCACTGTTGCTTACAGGTTGATCCTTTGTCAACAATCTCAGCTATCTGGCCAAACGTGATGCAAGGGCACCAACAGGCAATGCAACCTGAAGTTAAATATTTTAAATGGGTTAGGTGATCAGAACACAATTACAATAAATTTTACTAAGTTTTAACATGTTTGTAGAAATTTATTTCGCTAAAATTAAGTGTGATTGAATTCAAAATAAGATTAACTTTATCGCCATTTTAACATATACATGACATAATCGTCAGAATAAGAAAAAGGCTTACAGGTTTTCATGTCGGACAAGCAATCACAGAATCCAACGGACCATGGAACTTCATCATGAGGCTGCCCTGATGTGGTCTTCTCAGAGTAAACATAAGCATTCGGGTTTGCTGAGTGCATGATCGAGTAGCTTAGCTCTATATGGACTAATAATATGTTAGGAGAAGTTGTCTTGAAAAAGATAAATCAGAAAGCAATATCGATCAAAAGAAGAAAAGGCTTCTACCTCTCTGGATATTTGCAAATGAGCACGTACTTATTTATAGATATGCAAGACAAAATTTGTCGATAGCAAATGAAAAAACAACCGTCTTTAGATCGAAGAAAGGTCACGTATTAGATAGAAAAACAAGTCAATAGCCGCCAGAATTGAGTACGCACATTGGGTTTACTATACACAGGGTGTCGCCCCGCGTCAAGCTGATCGATTGCGACTGGTCTGTTGTCTTATATTAATTAATGCCTTCACGTTGCAAGAGAAAGAAGCAACAATGAAATTAGTTGTACCACTTCCATAATGTCTTATAATTCTTATCCTTGGTGCTTGAAGTCTTAAAACTTAGGACAGACGTTTCCTCTATTACTAATAATTTTTTATTAATTTTTAATACATTTCTCATTACTATCCATATATGTGAGATTTAGATAAATTAATTACAAACCTTACATATGTGAATAATGACAGTAAATATATTGAAAAATAATGGATAAAAAACTAATGCAATGAAATCAAAAGCAACAAATTCATCCATAAATTAAATAAATTCCTGTTTAATTTGTCATATTAAACAATACATTATGATAAAAGTATGTAGAATATGTAGGGCGTTGCTCTAAAATTAAAGGAAAAAGGTTTATAAACAAAGACTAATCACACATAACCAGGTCTCCATTAATACATGGCGAACAACCAACTCATCACACTTGACCAGGTCTCCATTAATACATGGCGGATAACTAAATAGCTAAGGGGTGGGGGTGGGGGTGGCGGCTGGGTAGCGAAATTCCATAACTACTCTAATTACCCTACTGTAGGTTAGTATCCTAGTCAGCCGATCTTCAATTTTGGCAAGCATTAGCGTTGATGAAGTAAGGACTACATTGCCTGGCTCATTTTGTAGAATGGAAATCACATGCACCAACGTCCTGCCTGGACTTGGTGTCTCATTTTCTTCCACCAATAGAATATTGCCATATGGAATTTTATATTTTCTTTATCCATTGTTCATTGCCTCGAGATTAGGCTCTCTGGATTATTGCCTTTGTGCTGAAATATGTATACTGATTTCAAAATCATCACTTTTAGAAAATGCTGCCTTAATCTCACTTTCTGAAAAATAAAGTCAAAAAATATGAGTGATCTTTGATGAACTGGTCCCCTTCAATTAATCAAAAACTTTGTTTAATCTCATAACCATGACCTATTAACCCGTTCTTTTACGTGAATTCCAAACCAGTGTAAGGCAGAGTTGGACCTTTTACCCCATGGAAACTGTGAAACATGAGCAATCCAACTCTAACCCCAAATTTACAGGTTTGGATCACTTCTGCCTCATTCGTTGTGGAAGGACAAGAATATATGTTGTGGTAAGAGAATGGTAAATTACATTGGCAACGAGATCTTTCATTTTCCGACAAATTTCCTTGTTTTAAGTCCCCTCATGGGGGTCGCACCAACTTCTACAATTCTCTCTGAACTCTTGCTTTTCCTCATCACATGTTTCATTAGATCTCCATCTCAATCCTACATTTGCAATTCTGTCTTCAAAAGACCACTCTCCATGACTCAAAAAAATTTTAATGAGGTTTTTATTATGCAATGTGGCAACATTTTATTGGTGGAAAAATATGAGACACGAATCAAGGTAGGATCCTTAACTTCACCATCCAATTTCAATCGATTCCCTATCTATTTGTCTTCCCACTTAATTCTCTTGCTTTCTTGCTTCATTCTTGGCTCTTTTTCTCCCAAATAGTTGCTTGCCATCCTCTCCTGAAAACCTCTTAAAAGGCCCTTTAAATAAGCTCCAAAAAACCTAATTTTCAAAATTTTCATCAAAATTTTATTTATGAAAATATCTCTGGTGCTATGGTCTGCCCTCCTTGGTACTGTGGTGCTTTGCTCTTTGGATTTTGTATGAGCCTTTGGTGCATCATGGCACTGTAGCCTTGAGCAACTCAAGGTTGCGACCCTCATTCCTTTATGCTGCCTTATATAGAACTGCAACAGTTTAATCATATTCACCACGATTTTCATCTCAATCTGATCTGAATTGAGTGAAATGGTGAATGTAAAGTTGTAGCCTTATCTCTTATCTTTCCAGTGACTCAAGAATCATATCAATTAAACTATTTTAGCTCAAGTTATCATCAAAATACGACAATATATACGAATGAAGTCATCACCATACTTGTATGGATTTTTATTAAGTAAGCTTTTCTCATCAATTTTCTTACAAAAGTAATAAGAGAAATCAACAATAACTGTACTTAAAGTAAATTAAAATAAAATAACATAAAATTAAACTAAAAAAATAGCTTAAATTAAATAACTCAATATGTAATCAACCTTAATTAAGAAAAAAAATCTAAAATACTAAAATCTGAACCTAAGATCTTAAAGCTCTAATTACTTAAATCCCTAAAATGTATTAAAATAACTCTATATACTAAAGTTATCATGAGAATAAAAGATGTTGCTCCATCGAATCAAGTATAGCTAAATTTAATGATTTCATAAATCTTTGTGAGCTCACTAACTTGCCACAACTAGGTCAGAAATGCACTTGGTATGGTCCTAACTCAAAAAAAAAAAAAGCAACACTGATTGTTTCCTTTTATCTTCTGAGTGGTTGCATCAGTTCAGTGATTTGATTCAATAGGGTCTCAAGCAATTAGCATCAAAAATAGTTAATTAGAGCCCTCGCTCTTTCTGCTTTATGGACTGTTGGTTATCGACAACGGGCTTTGGTGATATGGTTGCTCAAAAGCGGTCATCCTTCAATGTTCATAGATCTCCAAGCTTTTGTCTTAGAACGAAGCTTGGCAAACTTAAATCTCATTTTAAGCAATGGAACAACCACTATTTTAGGAATATCGGTTGTTTTATCACAAAACTTGAAAATCTTGTTGATTACTTTAACAAGATTGGTAATCTACATGATCTCTCTAAAAATGAATGTATGATAAAGAATGACACAATGCGTCAATTATGGATAGCTTTTAAATAAAGGTAATCTTTATGGCACCAAAATTTACACATTTAGTGGCTTAAGGAGTGTGATAAATACACTCACTTTTTTTAGTGCAAAGCTAAGGTCTTTTCCATAGAAACTATATTGCAGGAGTTATAGTAATCAATAGACATGACCAGCCTTCCAAGGACTTTAGTTGAAGAAAATCAACTCACATGATGCCTCCAACTTGGAAGCTCTTGTCACTATGGAGGAACTCAAAACACGATTTAGAGTTATGAAAGATCTAAAGTGCTAGGCCCTAATGGATTCAACCTTAATTTCTATAAACAGAGTTGGAACACAGTAAAGTATGACCTCTTTGCAATCATTTCTGATTTTATGACTTCGGGTAAATTTGAAAAGGGTATCAACTTTTTCTTTATTACCCTTATCCCTAAGGTCCAAAGTCTCACTTTAAGGACTTTGGACCCTTTAGCTTAGTGAGTTTGGTCTATAATATTATATCCAAGCTTCTAGCTAACAAACTCAAGATTGTTATCTTTAAGTTAATTAGTGATAATCAGGGTGCTTTTATGATAAGGTGTCAAATTGTTGATGATATCATGTTAGCCAATGAAATTATTCATTGTATGAAGATCAAAAAATTCAACAAAGGTTGGATTGTTTTTAAGCTTGATTTTAAGAAGGCTTCTGATTGTGAAGATTTAGGTTTTCTCTTACTTGTGATGGAAGCTATGGGCTTTGGATAAACATGTCATAATTGGATTCATGATAGCATTTCCATAGTCAGAGTGTCCATTCTTATTAATGGCTTTTCCACTTAAGAGCTTTCTTTGAAGTGAGGACTTAGCCAAGGCCATCCTTTGTCACCATTCCTTTTCATCATGGTAGTGAAGACCTTGCATCTCACTCTCATTAGAGCTGAATGTCTTAATCTTTTTAAAGGCATCCCACCCACAACCTCAAGTATCAGTATCGTCCACCTTCAATTTGCTGATATACTAACATGTTTATTAAAATTGATATACAAGGTGCCATTAATGTCTGTCATCTTTTACGTTGCTTTGAGTTAGCTTCTGGTCTTGATATCAACTTTCAAAAATCTTGTGTCCATCATGTGGGTGTTTCAAATGATGTGGGTAAGAATATCTCAGACATCTTTCATTATGAAATGGGTTCATTACCTTTTAATTATCTTTGTATTCCTCTTGGTGCTAACCCTCGATGCATCAGCACTTACGTCCTAGTTATTAACCACTTTAAGAGGCATCTTGCACTGTGGCAACGAAAATACCTCTCTTTTAAGGGTAGGATCACTCTCGTTAATTAAGTGTTAAACTCTCTTCCTTTATACTACTTTGTTTTTTTTTCAAGCAACAAAAGGAGTCATTTGTAAACTTGAACAATTGAGGTGAGCTTTCTTATGGGGTGGCATAATTGAGAAAAGGAAGAATGCAAAGGTTAAATGGGGTACAATTTGCAAACCAAAGAGATTTGGTGGGCTTGTAATTTCAAGTCTTAAAAATAGGAACTTGGCTTTACTCGCCAAATGGTAGTAGTGCTATGGCATTGATGAAAAAGCCCTCTGGAGATAATTGATTTTTGACAAATATGGTAACAAGCCTTTTTATTGGATGCCCTCTTCTTTTAGCACTAGGAAAATGTCAACCTTATAAAGATCTTTTATTTCTCTACCCTCAAGCTAAGGTATTCAAGATCGAGCTTGTAGTTATATTATGGGAGATGGAACCACTATATTTTTTTGGTTTGACCTTCAGATTGATGATGTTCCTTTGTGCTTGAAACATCCCCGCTTATTTCCTTGGTTGTTTCAAAGGAAATGAAAGTCGTTGTTTCCTGGAACAATGGTTCTTGGTCAATTAATTATAAACAAACCCTTCACACATGGGAAAAGGAAACATATGATGAGATTCTCCAAAATTATCCTCAGTCTCTCTTCTTAATGGAAAAAGAGACAAGCTCATTTGGTTATGTGACTCTAAAGGTACTTTTTCTATCAAAA